AACCCCGTGCGATTTACATAAACTTCCAACTTGTGTCAGAGGTAAAAGTGACCTTTTCAAAGGAACTATTCAAAGGAACAAAATTTAAGTGAGTAATGTAACACCATGCACGTCCTAAATCTTTTTCCTTTGGAGAGAAAATCTGGGATTATTTATTCAGATAGTTTAGCTCCGGGAATTTATTTAAGGGAATACAGTACGCCGGAGTCAACAGATCAACTACATCAATAACAATAGAGCAACAACAATATGAAGTTATCGAAGAAAAGAATACGAAAACAACATACCGAGTCCATCGAAACACAAATCAGCAGGATTCACTTTTGTTGTGTCGACGATAAATGACAACGATACTGGATAGCCGAGCAATCGAATTTTTGGTACGGCTTCACAAACTTCCACATCCAATCTGCAATTGATTCTATTTAACTTGATATACATACAAATAAATAACATTATAACTGATAATCACATGCATCTGCTAAACTGACAACGAATATCTCTGATAATGAATGCAGTTGAAAATGATGAAAACATTCAAATATTTCCAACAAGGAACAACTTACGGTCCATGACGTAACAGTAACGCAACTGGAACGTCCACAATTGAACCGATGAATTTAGAGCGATACACTGGCGATTTCGTTACGTGTGCTATTATTCGATCTTGCTCTCTGTAAATTATCACTATTATTGTATTATTATTATCATTATTGTTACTGTCTTTAATCATTATTTTCTTCAGTATCGTTAACATTTCCATTAACCACTTCACTAACAATATCACTATAAACAACAAGTTTTCATTGATGATTAAATGTATAATATTTATCAATAGTTATATAAACCATAAGGTCGCAAATTCATAATAATTAAATAGCTCAAGCAACGAATCAAAATCAGAACAAGCACATACTCAGCATGACGTTTGAGCGAGACGTTATCTGTGACATCTGCTTGAGATTTTAGCAATAACGGTGGTTTGGTGATCAGTTCGGGTGATCTGAAAAAAAAAACAGTCTTCATCCTCGATCCGACATGATCTCGTACAATCAAATGCTTAGACTCAGTGGAAGTAAAATTNAGTAGTAATGATAGTAATATAATGATAATAATAAAACTTAAGAGAAGCGGCAGTGCGTCGAAGGTATTCGCCAGGTTTACCAGGGGATGACATGGCTAATCCATCATCGTATCG